AAAGCAATACATGTGTATTAACAAACCAACGAGGGAATTCAGTGAAATTGAAAAATTAAAGGAGCAATGCGGAAACATAAGATTGGCAAATTTTCTTAATAATTGTAGAACGGATGGGAACAAGATTAAATGGATTTCACATGAAGAATTTTATAATGTTGAATTGTTGACTGAAGGAGGATCCGGAATCATATACACTGCCAATTGGTTTAGTAAATTTTATAATAAAAAAGTTGTGCTGAAAAGCGCATACGACTCACGAAATGCTATTCCAATAATATTAAAAGAGGTAAATAAAATTCCTTGATTTTAGAATATTTACTGATTAATTTAATCAATTGCTAATTATTAAATTATCGAACCATTAAAAATCATTAGCTAGAAGCACATAAAAGAATTTACAAGGAAAATAACACCCCTGACCATTTTGTTAACGAGTGTTATGGAATTACGAAAGATGCAAGAAATAATTATATGATAGTACTTAAATACACAGAATGGGGTGATTTACATAGTTATTTGTCAAAGCATTTCAAGTATTTTTCCTGGAAAGAAAAATTAGAATCACTTTTGAATATTTCGATTGGGTAAATTGATTTTTTGATTGTAATTTTTTCTAGATGATAAACTAATAAATAATCTTTATTTTCCATCAGGTTAAATAAAATTCATTCTAAAAATTTTGTGCATCACGACCTGCATAGCCGCAAGATTTTGATAGACGAAAAAAAGACAATAGCAGCTTTAAAATTATGCGAGCCGGCTAAAGAAAATAATCCAAATAATCAAGTTTATGGTTTTATGCCATATTTGGCACCTGAGGTATTATTATACAAAAGAATCCGATGTGTATAGCTTTGGGATGATAATGTGGGTATATACTTCTGGCAAGGAGCCATTTGATGACAGATTACATAATATTGATCTTACAATGGAAATTTTGAATGGAAGGAGACCAGATATCACTGATGATACACCAAAATTTTATGCTGAATTGATGGAACGATGTTGGGATCCTGATCCCAGAAAAAGACCAACTGCAAGTCAAATCGAGAATTATTTGCGTAGGTATCTTGCAAATAGTAAATGTAACAAGAAGAATATCGAATCAGCCGGATTCAGAAGAATACTAAGGATGAGTGTTGGCGGCAATTATAAAAAAGAAAAGAAAAAGAAAATAAGAATTCGTGATCAAGTAAATGTCTATCTTTAAAAATTAATTCAACAAGTCTAAAACGTGATTCAACAATGGTTGATATATGTATATCAGCAGCTTTTGCTGCTAGAGGTAAGAAATTGATCTGTTTGTTCATTAATCTATCTTTTAAATTTTATGATTTTATTCTTATTAATTTTTAATTTATAGCTGAACTGGGGTTGGAAGAAAAATTTGGTAACAGAAAATGATGTTGTGGCTTATATTCTGCAGACTATACGTAAAATTTTCAAATGGAAAGAACTTAAACATCACATCAACTATGTTCTCTTTAAAAAAGAAATTTATTAAAGAGAATCATATGGTATTCTGCGCGTGTAAAGATTTTACGAATAATGTTTATTTTTTATAATACAACCTCCAGGAATAAGCAAATTTCAAGTTAAAAAATGATTTGTTATTCCTGAAACAAATATGGTGGGAGCATTTATTTTTTTTTAATGCATGTAAGAAACAAGCTTACAACTGAGAACGCAATGTGAGCTTTTGCTTTTTTATGTATCACACAATCACGCGAGATCAAAAATTCATTTATTTTAACATCACGTTAACATCAAAGTTAAGTTGAGTTTGGATTGCATTTTCGTCACAAAATGACATCACTCAGGCCAAGACAATAGTCTATTTTATTAATTCGAAACATATAAATAGGGTAGCCGTCCTCACTTTTTTTTTGTAACACCAACGTAGAGACATTCCTCTCAGGCCATTTCGGCACATTGAATTCAACCTTCTACACTCAGTCACAACACCCCTGCCCATTTTCAAGCAATCAAGATAAAATTCGAGTTTACAAATGCGAACGCTATGTGAACACATTCAAACCATGAAATCATTTATTATTATACAACGTTATACGCTGCGCCGTGTTCATGTCCTGCAGGTCAATCGGAGTTTTATTTGGTAGCCATTGCCACACATAACTTCTTTATCATGTATCTGCTTTAAGAAAAATTTTGAAGCAAATTGTTTACAAAACCAAAAATAATCTCAGCCTTAAATTCAAATTTATTTTTACATTCATATATGTGGAAATTTCTTTAGCACGTCCAATTGCAAGCAAAAGTAAAAATAAATGTCCAAATAATTACATTATTATACAGTTTTGTCCGCTTAGATATGTCTCTTATAATAAATAATTTATTTATTTTAAAATTAAGTATATAAATAAATAAATATAAAATGTTTCTTTTGCATTTAACATAAATAATAATAATGATTAAATTAAAAGGTGTTTTATCTCCGACTTTATTCATTTAATTACCTATCATGGTGATATTATTAATATGTAAAAATAAAAGAGAAATTTATATATATAAATAATTAATTAATATAACTATTGAATGATTAATAAAACGTTCATATTATTAAATAAAATAATAATAGATTATATATTGTAAAAACTAAGGATAATCAAATCTAGTTAATTAAAAAAAATTTTTCACAATGAAAAATAGAATTTGACGATTTCAATTTCAAATTATTAAAATAATCTTGTCACAACCTATATTAATATTAATATTTTAACAAGACTAGTAGTATACACGAACAGAAAAAAACAGACAGTTTTTCCATGGAGATTTTCTATTATTTATTTGAACAGAACATTTAACCATTATTCAAACGGAGTGTTTCTAGCAAAAACTCCTTATTATTATTATAACCATAAAAGGGTTTATGAAACATATTATAAAATCCAATCCTTTTTGACTAAACCAATAAAATTAATCTTAACAATAAAAAATGCCAATTTTTAATTCAAAAAAAAACAAAATAGGAGAAGACAGCAGCAGCAGTAAAGAAACAACGATTAAAAATTTAACGGAGGAATGCAAAGATGAAGAATTGGCAAAATTTCTTTATGATTGTAAAAAGGATGGGAGCAAGATTAAATGGCTTCCACATAATGAATTTCATAATCTTACACCATTAGCTAAAGGAGGATTTGGAACCATACATACTGCCGATTGGTGGCATAATTCTACTTGTAAAAAAGTTGTTCTAAAAAGCATTTACATTTCACAGAATGTTATTCCAATGATATTAAAAGAGGTAAATAAATTTCTTGAATTTGCCGAGTAAATAATTGCCAATTAAATTATTAAATTGTTGATTGAACTGTTAAAAAATTATTAGCTAAAAGCGCATAAAAGAATTTACAAGGAAAATAAAACTGGCAGCCCTTCTATTAACAAGTGCTACGGAATTACAAAAGATGAAAAGAAAAATACTTATAAGATAGTACTTAAACATGCACAAGGAGGTGACTTACATAATTATTTGTCAAAGAATTTTAAGAATTTTTCCTGGAAAGACAAATTAGAATCACTTTTGAATATTGCGATTGGGTAAATTGATTTTTTGATTTTTTTGTGATTTTGTAAATTATTTTGTAAATTTTTTTTGTGATAAACTAATAAATAGTCTTTATTTTTCGTCAGGCTAAATAAAATTCATTCCAAAAATTTTGTGCATCATGACTTGCATAGCCGCAATATTTTGATAGAAAAGGACGAAAAAAGTACAATAGCGGATTTAGGACTATGCGAGCCAGTCGAAGAAAAGAATCCCAATACTAAAGTTTACGGCGTTATTCCATACTTGGCACCCGAAGTATTATCTGGCAAACCATATACAAAAGAATCTGATGTATATAGCTTTGGGATGATAATGTGGGTATATACTTCCGGCAAGGAGCCATTTGATGATAGATCACATAATTTTGGTCTTACAATGGAAATTTTGAATGGAAAGAGGCCAGATATCACCAGCGATACACCAAGATTTTATGCCGATTTGATGATACAATGCTGTAATCCTGATCCCAAGAAAAGGCCAACTGCCAGTGACATTGTAACTTATTTACGCTGGCATAGCTATAAAAATGATTACAATAATAAGGAGGCGATTGAAACAGCCGAATCAAAAAGAAAACAAAGAATTGGTGATCAAGAAAAAGAAAAAGAAAAAGAAAAAGAAAAAGAAAAAAAAGATTCATCATCAAATAAATGTTCATTTTTAAAAATTACTTCAAGTTTAATGCATGACTCAACAGTTTTTGCATTATGTCTATCAACAGCCATTTTGGCTGCTAGTTGTAGTACTGCTAATTTAGGGCATGCTGCAACAAAACCAGACAAAGTGAACATTGGTATTATCAAGGATTTCACGTCCAGAATTTTAGCCCTGTTCAATATTAAATCTCTCCCTCATGTCTACCAACATTTGATGGATTCAATTTCATTTAATAATTCTTTATTTTTCTCTTGGAGTTTGTTTATTATGTTTGTCATGATTTTCTTTTTTTTATTATTTTTTATTTCTTTTCTTTTCTTTTAGCGAGATAATATTTAATGAATTTTATTTAAGAAAAGGTTGGAACGTACCTGACTTGGTAAAACAGGGGTTAACAGTTTAAGAGGGCACCCTCCAGGAGATGTTATCAGGGCATAGTGTGAAATCTAAAGAAAATATTGTTTAGTATTGTTTTACGACAGTGAAAGATAGTTTCGAAAGTAAAGTATAAATGTATATTCGCGGAAATTGTTTTACGATTTAGTGTAAATGAATTAGAATTAAATAAATTGAAAACGTGAGATTTGGACACGATCTCACAATGAGAATCGGAAAAGTAAAAAAAAGGAGAAATTTCTTCTATTTTGTAAAAAATAAATTTTTTTTTGCAATTATGTTTTGTAAAAATAAAAATTTTTTTTTTGCAATTATATTAAAAAAAAATTAGACATGCACGTAATACACCAGATTAAATTTTCAACACTGTATATCAAAGACCAAATTTAGCAAGAGAATAATAGCGATAATAAGAATTATATCCCAAATCCATAAACGATTTTCCGCGTCCTTTAAGAGCGTAAACTGTAATAATCAAAGAATAAATAAACTCATTAATCAAATAGCAATTCATATAATGTATTTATATTAATTTAAAGAAATGGATAATACAATATACTGTACCAAAATCTAAGGATCTGATTGTTTTACGTTTTGTAACTTCTGCATAACTAGCAGAATCCTAAAAATAAATAAAAGATAAATTATTAAATTATTATTATAATAACAAATTAATAGTTATTGATATTATACACTCTAATCACACCACCAAGGAATGTCTTCAATATGTTTCGAGTTTCTTCGTAAATAGGTGCAGAAATACGTTTTACACTTGCTCTGCGAGCAAGCTTTCTAATGGACAGCTTACTTATCCCTTGAATATTGTCTCGGTTGATTTTACTGTGAACCCCTCTGTTATTATTATTTCCCACATTTATTGTTCCATTCCTATTATCGTTATTATTATTATTCTGAGGACAATTCCATCTTACATGGTTCTACTTGACCACACCCATAACATGTTACCGGCAGACGGTTTTCATTCATTGCACTATTTTGGATCCTTGGTCTTTGATTATTTTGGACATTTTTTCCTTTTATTATATTCGTTTGTATCCTACCGTTACTCCTTTCCCTTTATCATGATTGATTTATTATCAATAATAGAAGAAATATATATCTAAGTTTTTAAAAAGAATGAGGCCTCAATTATGTACCTTGAAGTACTTGTGATTTTGGCCTTGGTTCTTGATCTGGCTCTATATTTGGCATTTCTTTGTGTGATTCTTGATCTGACTCTATATCTGGCATTTCTTCATGTGATTCTTGATCTGGCATTTCTTTATGTGATTCTAATGATGATAATTCATTCTTTAAAAACAAAACACGTGGGTTAACAAACAACACAAAATAAACAAGTTGATGAACAGAAAATTTGTTAATAACTCACTAATTCTGCTGAAGTAAAATCTTTTATTAACTTGATGATTTTTTTATGATGTTGATTTAAGTCGTATATAATATTATTTTCTTTCAATAAATCTCTTATTATTGTTTCGTTGATATTGTATTATTCTCTAGTCTTGATATTTGGTTCCGAAAATTTGACAATATTAGTTTTAAAATATAAACAAATCAATTAAATTTTCGCATTTGAAAAGAATGCAGTTTATTTGCATTAGTTGTAGAGGAAGAGGATGATGAATCCTGTGAAGAGGATGGTGAATCTTGTGAAAAGGATGATGATTTTGTGAAAATGACGCGCTAATCAAATGCAAAAAAGTCCATTCAGTTTGTTAATTCTGAACTAGAGTGATCACAAGTGCAATGATCACCACCATTCTTAAAACACTTACCCGCCAAGCTCTTCTTGTTGTTTCGTGGCATTTTTAAACAAAAAAAAAGAAGTTGATTATTTGATCGACGCGTACACATTAATTATTTATCCTATGGGTTGGTTTTTTTTTGTTGTACATACAAGGATTTTTTTTTTTGGAAAAAGAATTTATTTTTTGACAGAGTCCAAGGTGATGGTATGATATGGCATAATTCTCCTAAAGAAGCCGTGTTAATAACTAACCAGAGGTACTACTTTTTGTATTGATATATATATGTATTTTTACTTAATAAATATTTTAGTTGGAATTAGGGCTTCTATTCGTAATGCAATTCTTATTCGAATTATTCGTAATACAGCTGACCTTTATTCAAATTATTGGTTTTATTCATTATTGGAATCTTGGGTTTGTTCATTCGTTTTATTAGATTATTTGGAATCATGGGTTGTTCAATTACTTAAATATTCAAACTATATATACAACAAAGTTTAATATTGATTTTATTATTATAAAAATTGAAATTAAAAATGAAACTAATAAGGAAAGACTGAAACAAGATACATGTCTTTCCGGTGAGCTTGAATTTAAACTGGACCTTAATTATTTGTTTTATCCGAATTAATTTTTTCGAATTATTTGCTTTATTCAAATTAATTTCCTTATTCGAATTAATTTCCTTATTCAAATTAATTTTTTTATTCAAATTAATTTCCCTTAATATTAATATTATTTGAATCAATTTTCTTATTCGAATTATTCGTTTTATTCGAATTAAAATTTATTCAAATCGAATAAGCTTTCAATGTAATTCGAATAATCAAATTCATAACGAATAAAGTGAATAATTCGAATAAACCTTATTCGAATAGAAGACCTAATTGGAATCAAAACGTGGAGCAGATCTTGCTGGGTAGTTATAAGATTCTTATCAAGATGGTAACAAATGAACGATTGGCATTTTGCTTTTGTAATCGTTATTAATATTAATACTATTAATATATAATTACAAGAAGATGTCAAGGCGGCAGCATTGACTGTTGAAAAAGAAACATTTCAAATATGAAACAATTTCAAATATGAAATATGTGATGTTTGATTATTGGAAATTAGCAGATATTAAAGCACGCACGCTACCTCGATCACTTACAGTCATTCTCACACCTTCCTCGTGTACACAAGGCTAATCTGACTTGCGATCCCTCAATGATGCAATGATGCAACTGAATTCCGGGGGAGAGATGCAATGCCCTGGGGTTTACCGAGACTGCATCAATCGTCAATGACATTTTCAATAATCTTTTCTCACAGCACCCAGACTGCTGCCATGTTAGCCAAAAAGTTGCCTGCAACGATCCTGCCTCTAGGGTAAGGATGACTCTGTGACCAAGCTGCAACTCTGTTGATGAATATTAAGAGAATCTGCAACTTGTTTCAAGCACATGAGGTTGCAATTCAGAGCGGGGTTGATGACCCTGAAATTGCATTTAGGCTCAAGTTAAGTAAATTATAGTGTTATTTATACATGCTAAAGATTCAATTATCTAGTTCTCCGATTTCTGAAAATTCTTAATTTGATCTAATTAAATGTATTCCTTGAAGATAAACAAACCTTTCTTTTACAAGTTCTTTTTTTTTTAAGTGAATGAATGATTTGGATTCAGAATTAAAGAAATATTACAATTTAGAATGTTAGGAACAATCTTTCTTGATAATTTCTGCAAATCAATAAAGTTCTCGCCATGTTTTTCTTGTTTCCTTTTTCATTGGCGAAAGGATCTGCACAGAATTTAGCCAATCAGAATTTCTTTCCATAGCGTCGATCATTACATGGTATTATCCCTGATTGAATTTAGCCAATCAGAAATTTTTTTGAGTCGATCATTACAGTATTTAGTATTTCCATCTATGGTAATAATCCTGACTGAATTAAATGAAGATGAATCCATCATAGTAATAACAAGTATCTTAGAAAGGAATAGTGATCTCTTAGACGATCTGGATGATTCATTTAGAAATATAACAAAAGTCTTAGATAGCTACTTCATTAGGAAATTTTTTCTGACACGGCACGGATTTACATAATTATTATACTATTTACATAAGTTTATGGCGGGCCCCGTAATATTATGCAAAAATCATACAAAAATCATGCAATTATTACATTGAGTGTAAATACTAGATAATTTTTTATGGACATAATATTATGTATTATGGCAGGGAAAATTTCCTGATGTTTGATGAAAATAGTGAAAGTTTAGACGATGGAAATAATTCATCAATCAATCAAATTATGCAAAACAATAATAGAAATCTCAATAATAATATCAATATCACTAATGATTTACTTACTAACATTGATGATTATAATAATCACGCTGAATCACAAGACATGAATCACCATTTGAATATTATAATAATTTACCATCAACATCTGGTCTTTCTACTGTTGATAATAATAATGATCCATCGGTTGAAGGCAAATGATGGATTCTTTTTATAAAATTTTATTTCATTATTATTAACAATAAAATACAATAAAGATATGAAAAGAAGTTTGAAAGTTGCTGGAGTAAAAAAAGTATACTTTGTTATTGAATTAATTCTCTTATTCTTTGATTAAAGGAACAATCCTTCGCTCATCCGCTGCCAAGTTTCTAAAAAAAGTATATTTATATATACATATATATCATACTAATAATACTAATTATTATTAATACTTAAAATAGATTTCGGAAGAGTTTTTAGTTGACTTTTTTGAAGATGTCAAGCTGACAGCGATGCACGATAATCGCATCACGATTAAACTGAAGGTATTCAATTAGTACTATATTTTCGTAAAAGAAGACTCAATTGGTAATCTATCATAAGATCTATTCATTTACGTTTACAAATAAACCAAGTTTTCAATTACCTTTTCTTTACAACAATTGCATAATACAACTATATTCAATTTAACATCTGTATGGATTAAATATTTATATATGAATTTTCAATTAATTGTTTACTTTATTCTTTCATTCCTTTCTTCTAATCTATCTGATGTTTTTTTAATGTATTGTATCAACTGATTTATTCAATAAATCAATAATAATATCAGGGACCTTAATTTGCATTATTTTTTTTATTACAATCAGTACAATTTCCTTTAAAGTTCCAAATAATTCATTTAAAACGTGATTAATTCTAATTGATTTATGACCATGATAATTAGGAAAATTGGTGTTGGTTTACATAATAAATCATATCTTTGGATAAATTGATTCAATAATTATGATCTCCTATTGTTGTAGTTTTTTTAGTTAACCGGAGTGGCACGAAATTATTATCGCAACTTTAAATTTATTTTAATTACTAAATGTGGATCATTTTAATAAATATTAATTGAATATTAAACAAATCCACCTTCCCATATGAATGAATGATGTTACAAAAATTTGAACATCAAATTGGAGGTCATGATAAATTATTATTAACAAATGATGAAGCAGTAATTGTTAAACCTTGTAATACACTCGAAAAAGAATTTTACGAAACCAGTGTATTATATCCAGAATTTTCTATGTGGATGTTGTATGTGAAATTGAAATTATGTGAAAATGAAATTATGTAAATTTGAATTTCACATATGTGAATTGCGAATTCACATAATTTCATTTTCACGTACAACATGGATACCTAAATTTTATGGAAGTTTACAATTACAAGATGCTAACCACAATAACAATTCATTAATAAATCTAGTTGATGATATTAGCGATAATAATAATGATAACGGCGATGGTATTAGGGTAGTTGATCCTTTGATAATTAGACAAGAAATCGAAAAACAAAGTGCAAATGTTACTGAAGTTGAAAATATCCTTTGGAAAATAAAATAATATATATATTTAGGAAATGTATTAATGCTAACCAATATTATTATTTATTATTTTTAATTATAAACACATGCAATATGTTTAGGGAATATTTTATATGGTTTTAAAAAACCTTGTTTCATAGATCTTAAGCTAGGTACTCAACTATGGGGTGAAGATTCTAGCGAAGAAAAAAAGCAAAAAATGATTAAAAGAGCTTTAATGACTACATCAGCTTCATTAGGAATAAAAATTACAGCATTTAAGGTAATAATATATATTCCTTGAATTGTACTCGGCCTCCGTTTTTCTAATTTATTTTTCGATTATCTCTTATTTATTTGAAAAAAAAAAGGTTTATCAAAAATCTATTGATAATTATAAAGATTATTCACGTGAATATGGGTATATTTTAAAAAATGAAAATGGCATAATATTAGGATTAAGGGATTATTTTAGAGCAGAAATATCAAAGGATAAACAAAGTTTGATTATTAAAACAATAATTAGAGATCTTAAAGAACTTTATAAAGCACTAGAAAATACAGAATTGAGATTGTATGGTGCATCATTATTTTTGGTATATGAAGGTGTGACCCTGATGCTTTAGAAGAGGCCTTGAGTAAAGAAAAAGAAAATCTTGAAAAAATATCATCAAAATATATTGATGGTAATGATAATGAAGGCAAAGAAGAAGGAGAAGGAGAAGAAAAAGAAGATGATGGTGATGATGAAGAAGATGAAGAAGAAGAAGATGATGATGATGATGATCAGGACTGAAAGTTACTGATTTAAAAATTATTGATTTTGCACATTCTCATTTCAGAAAAAACGTTGGTAAAGATGAAGGCTGCTTATTTGGTATTAGGAATTTGCTGGGATATCTTGATCAATTATTACAAGAAAATTAAATCACTTGATTAATTTGTTTTAATTTATTTTAAAGTTAATTTTATAATAATTTATTAATTGTGATAAATATTTTTTTTGAAAAATAATATGATTCTTTTTAACAATTTTGTTATTGATTTCGTAAAATATTTGTTCCTTTGGTCATAATGTATGTATGAAGCAGCTTTTTTAGCTGCATTGATCTTTTATCTTTAGTCGAAGTAAAAGAGATCCCATGTATTTACACTCTACTGTGTCTCGGATCTCTTTCAGTGACTGACATGTTGAACTTTACGCAGAGTACTGTTAACCAATCTTACATCCATTGATGCAATTTTGCTCCTGATACACTCTCGAGATAACTGCGAAACAGGAATCGTCCTATTAAAATAAATGGCTTGAAGAATCTTGTTGACAAATTAGGTGGCGAACAGAGAACAAATCCATTTTTAATTTGATGCTTTAATACTGCCCAGAAATACTGTTGATATAAATATATCATGTTGGATCACTGATTGTATCAGAAACCTCTGATTTTCAGTTTTCTTTTGATATTTATTTGTCCGTTTTTATTCCAACCAATATAAAAACAAACAAATATATGAAATTTTCCAATTTTTTTTGTTACACTATATATATATATTTACGTTTTATGAAACTTACCCTGGGACAATTTGGTAGACAATGTAAAGAACATATAGCAAAAATAAAAAAAAAAATTTTTTTTCAAGGAAAATTAGTTTTTTATGAAATACAAAGTATTGTTAAGGATATCATTTGTAAAAAAAAAAATTATTTACTAAAAAAATTGACTATGTTAAAAAAATTGATAATAAGAACAAATTTTATCGGCCCAAAGAATATTTACAAACACAATAATCTTAGTTAACTGAGCATTATTTATTTATTACTAATTTTTTTGGTGATATTAAAAATTCTTTGAGTTATATTTTCAAAAAATTATTGCCTTTTATGAATGAATAAAGATGAAAGATATTGGTGATGACATTTATATTTTCATAAAAGAAAAATACATGATTTTCATAAGTCCAGTTTTCAACCCTATTAAAAATTTTCACAGCTTTAAAAAAGAAGACTTGGAATAAAAATTTAAAAGCAAGCAATAAAACTGACTTCTATAATTTGTTAAAAGGATTCTGGTCTAGAAAGAATTGATGAATTAGCAGATGTGAAGTTGGAATGTTTTAAAAAGCCGACAAGATATTGAATTTTTTAAATAAATAATATGAATAGTTTAAATATTTTTACGTTTTATGTAACGCTTCGTGGATTTCCTATCACTAAAAAAATGTTCAAATTTGGCATTGTGGACTTGTTAACACGTTATTAACACAAGATACTTTGGTATATTGGTAAAAAAAAAACTTTTTATGTCAATTATTTATATTTTTATTGGAATAATTTCTTTGGGACATGTGGCGCAGAACTTGACTTACATAAAATAACCTTTTTGGACCTCGTCTCTTTTCATGATAAATCTTTTTGGAAGGAGATGCACTTAAAGAATCAAATCAGTTTCTTTTGTTTTCTAAGAATTGGAATGCAATTTTTATCAAGGGCTTAGAATTGCCAGAATCACATCCAATGAATATTGCGTCGATTAATTTTTGGGGGGAATAAGTTTTGAGAATAAAACTGAATAGGATATTTACTAGCGAATAGTTTTCAAGTTGAATGCTTGTAATCTAATAATTTAATGCCAATAGTGAATAAAAAAATATCTTAATATAAAGGTCTGATTAATTTTTTTTAAGTATACCGTGATATGCTATTGGAAGATTGGAAAGGATCGGAAAGGATTGGAACTTCAAATCTTCTAATGATGGATACATTGAAAGGTTAGGAAGGCTTATACGTCATCAATACTATTTTCCGATCAAAAATGTAATCACGTGATCAATTGATGGCATCTACCATTTTATATGCACTTTAAGGATTGAAAGATGTTATTTTCTTACCCAAATCTACTACAACTTTATTTACTATCTTCATCTTCATTATCTGTTAAATTGATAATTTTACTCAAAAAATTAACACAACTTTTTAACTTGTATCTTTTTGTTTGTAAAAGTATGTTTTTGTAATTCTAATCTTCTATGTGTTGTATTTATTTATTCGCCTAATACTTTGTCAGGCGATAGTTTTTTGGCTTCGTTATAATTGATTTGATGAGAGTTTGAACAATAAATAAACCAATTAATATTAATTTTTTTTTTATATTTTGCTTCCCAAAAAAATTAGTTTAGTAAAATCCATGGATGAAGAACTTTTCAGCAATCACCAGTTAATAATTAATTAACAGTAAATACTTTTAATAGAAAATTCCATTTCGAAAAAGAATTTGTTGAATTTTATCGGCTGGAATTCCAATTCCGATGCTGGAAGGCTGTGACTTCCAAAACTTTCAAAACGTTCTAATGGAACTTTCAATTCCAATACATTTTTGTGGGAAGTTTTTGTCTGTATAACTTATACTATTACTATTACTATTACTATTACTATTACTATTATTAGTATTAGTTGGGTATTATTTAATGTAATCCACTCCTAGAATGAAAATTATTTATCGGTCATCAATATAACCATTATATGAATTTCATTGATTTTTTTGATGGTTGTGTAACTAATAATTCATCATTTAACTGCAGACTAAACAACCACAACCTTGACAAAATCAATTATTAAATATACAAGTTAACATAGAAAAGAATATGTTCGCCTAAATGTTAAAATAATCTTTCAATTGGTTGGGTTCTCATTTTAATGTTTATTTATAAATAAATAATAAATAAATAATACACAGTAGTCATTACTTTGACAAAAAATATATTTGCCTAAATGTTAAAATGATAAAATAAAAGCGGATTTTTTGTGTAAATTACATTGTATAAAAAGCTCTCTTTTCCCAATTGTAATTTTTTATTTCATTTTGTTAAAATTATATATAATTTATTTATTAAAACTTGAATGTTATATAATAATAAATCAGGCCGCGTGGGCAAAGACAACTGCAATAATAAAAAGTTAATAAATCAATACATTAACAAACTAACGAGGGAATCCATTGAACTTAAAAAATTAACGAAGCAATGCGGAAATATAACATTGGCATATTTTCTTCATAATTGTAGAACGGATGGAAACAAGATTAAATGGATTTCAT